TATCAACCGCACGGACGATAAAGAAGTTTTTACCCTTTCTCTTGTAATTTCAAGGAGGAAAGGGAAAAATTTCCCTTTCCACATGTTGAAGGTCCAATCGCTGACATAAGACTTCTTCATCATCCGTGCGGTTGATATAGTCAAACAGTTTTATTTTCGCGATGCGTCAAAAATGCCATTTTACAGGTCATTTTAATTAGTTATTTTACTAATTGCCTTTTATTGCTCATAGCCAAAAATGATTTTTTTTGGACACTTGAAAATCTAATTTTCCATTTTTGTAAAGAAAGTGTAAGAATGTTAATTTTTGTAGGAGAAATGGCTGTTACAAAAGTGCGATTTTTGTGTTGGGTTTGTTTACCTTTTATTTCACACCTTGGACTTACCCTTAATTGTCAGCATTTTTTTTAAGATGTTCTTCTTAAAAGTAAGTGTTTTTATTTTTTGAAATATTTAAAAATCATTTAAATAGTAAACACATATGAAAATCAATACTTGAATTTTTTCTATCATAGAAAGTAATTTATATTTTTAATTTTTGATTTACTATATAACCTGTTTAAATAAAAATTATAAAAAATTATTATTATGTCTATAGAAAATGTTGAATATTATTTTTTTTTAAATTTTATTGTTACTTTAATTTATCATTCAAAAAAAATTATAAACAAATAATAAAAATTTTTAAGGCTCTACTGTAATTTTCTTTGCTTTTTACCATAGAAAATCTTTGTTGCTGCTAAAAAAAATTCGAATCCTCCGAATGCTGCTACTCCTGAAATAATTATTTTTTCATAGAATTTCTTTAAAGTTTGAGAAAATATCTCTTCGGGTGCCCTTTAAATGTGGTAAAAATTTCAAAACCCGTTGTGATGCTAAATTTTGAGATATTCAAGTTCAAACTTTAACTTTTATATGCGATTATGTTAAAAATAAAACAAGTTGTTCATTTCATGATCATTAAGCTTCCTCAATATAATATATACCAATTGTTTAATTTTTTATTTTAGAATAATTATTTTAAAGTGTTAAGATAAAATGTCAAAAAATACAAAATTTCAATTTTTTGTGAAAATTTAAAATATTTATTAATTCTATACATTTTGATAAAATATATACTTTATATACATGAATCGATTCGTTTTTATGTCAGGAATGCAATTTTGATAAGAATTAATGAAAATTTTAATATAGAAAAAAGTTACTTCAAAAAATCCAAAAATTATTTTTTCAAAAATTAAAAAATTGTTGAAAAAAAATTTTTTTTTTAGATATTTTTGAAAATCCTTTTGTCTGATTTTTGGTATTCGTGACCGTAATACACCTACAACATTTTATCAAAATCCGTCAAGACATGTAAGAGAAAATTTGTCCACAAGAATCGGTGACATACACACACACACACACACATACATACACACATACATCCGGACATTTGTTCCTCTCGACGAATTATATATGTATACTACACTTGAAAATTTGTAAAAATAATTGGTTCTAAAAAATTCGGAAATCGACATCACTATAAGGCTTCCTTTATGAGGAAGCAAAATGTCAACCACAATATCTCGTTTTTTGACATGGCAAAGAGTTTTGAAATATTTACCACATTTAAATATTTACAAAGAAACATTTTCTCAAAATTTGAAGAAAATCTATTAAAAATGAATTTTTTCCAGAGTAGCAGCCGGAGATACACCTAAAATTTTTTATTTAAAAATTGATTTTTTTTATTAACTTTATTTTTATTTCAAATTACAAATTTTTACCTGAAAAATGTGTAAACTTTATAAAAATCTACAATCAATATTCCGAGATATTCAAAATTGTATAAAATTAATATTAAAATTCAAAATGGCGTATCTTCAACGATTTTTAATTTAAAAAAAAAATTTAGGGAAAAAAGTCTTTTATATAGGGGAGACTGGGGCTAAACCGGACACGGGGCTAAACCGAAAATGTCGTTTTTCGCAGTAAAAGTAAAAAAAAAATTTTCTCATTTTTTTGGGTTTATATCGTTATAATTAAAGTGCACATATCATATGGAAATTTTTTTATTAGCTGAAGGTGTACTGAGTGTAGTAGAAAAAAAGTTTAATGGAAAACGTTAAGAAAAATAAATTTATTGCAGGTTAATTATTAGATGACGGTGTGGGGCTAAATCGGACGTCGTGATAAAAAACAATCAAATTTTCGAATAACTATAATTTATTTATATTAATGAACTATTTTATATTATATTTTTTGCATAGAACCACTTTATCAATAAATAAAGAATTTATTTTAAAACACGAATTAGCAAGCGAGCTGCTGAAATCAAACAAGTCTGAAAACTATAAGTTATTTTATATTGTATTAATTACCTATTTTTCATTTTATATTATATTCTTTGTATAGAACTATCTACAAATAAATAAACAAAGAATTGATTTGAATTTTCTACAAAGAAAACGAAAATTTGTGTCTCTCTGTTTAATTAATTTGCCGTGTCCGATTTAGCCCCACCAATTTTGGGATTTTCATTTTTGAGGTAGTCACCTTCGAAGCAATAAATCACCAAAGCTACTGTAGTTTTTTAAAAACAAACAAGTGCGATTTGTTGGTGAAGGAAGAAGCTTCAAAACAGTATATTACTCTTTAGCAAAAAATATTTTTTTCTATGAGTTTTCTGGTCAAAGACCAAATCCGTCCGGTTTAGCCCCGGTCTCCCCTACATACACATATACATTATATTTTTGGTATAGCTATACAGAAAAGAACCATTTTATTTAAACAAACATTGAAAAATACTGCTTTTTCAGCCTGGCACTCATTGATATTAAATAATTTTACAAAAATGGCCAGGCTACTGGACAGCGAGTGGTCCCTAGGGTGGTCCAAAAATACATGGGAAAAAAAATAAAATCGGAATTTTAATGCTCTCACCCCCTAGGAATGTTCTATATGGAGAAAAAAAATTCCCCTATTTTTTTTTAAATAAAAAAATATTTAGAGGTCGCTCAAAGCGCTGGAAGTTTCCCATGTAAAATGCATGGGGAAAAAACACTTTTTCGTAGAATTGGTATAGAATCCTTGAAAATCAATATTTTTCATTCAGCAAACTCTGTTTCTCTTCAGAAGACTTCAAAGAATAGTGCTAAATTGTTTATTTAATAATTTTTCAAATTAACTATTTTTTATAATGCCCCAAAGAAACCCCATAAATTTCAAAATTACAAAAAAACCATTAAAAAATATTTTTTACTATTTTTATTAAAGTTTTTTCCTAGATTTTGAATAAATAACACAAATATTGATTTTTAAACATTGTTCCATGTAATTGCTAATTTGTTTAAACAAATTATTATTGTTTATTTACAACTTTTTAGCCCATGTAATTGCTAATTTGTTTAAACAAATTATTATTGTTTATTTACAACTTTTTATCTAATTGAGCTAAAAAGTTTCGATTTTTTCTCAATTTTGCAACTTTTCAGGCCGAATGTAACCAGTCACTATCAACTAACTAAGAATATTAATTTTACCAATTGTTTAAACAAATTACTATTGTTTAATTTTATCTTTTTATCAAATTGAGCTGCAGAGTCGCAATTTTTTTCTCAATTTTGTATTTTTCCAAGCCAAGTGTAACTAAAGTTACTAACAACAATCTAAGAATTACAATTTTACCAATTGTTTAAACAAATTGTTATTTTAAATTTGAAGCTATCGCAGTAGAAATTTCAATGACGTAAATAAAAATTTTTGTACTTATCATTTTTATAATAATAAATTTATTGTTCACAATTTTTACTCGAAAATTAAGTCTTACATTAATTATTACCTCACAAACAAATAAAAAGTACAATTATAAAAAAGTTGCAACTCTGTAGCTCATTTTGATAAAAAGATAAAATTAATCAATAGTAATTTGTTTAAACAATTGGTAAAATTAATATTCTTAGTTAGTTGATAGTGACTGGTTACATTCGGCCTGAAAAGTTGCAAAATTGAGAAAAAATCGAAACTCTTTAGCTCAATTTGATAAAAAGTTGTAAATAAACAATAATAATTTGTTTAAACAAATTAGCAATTACATGGAATAATGTTTAAAAGTCAACATTTGTGTTATTTATTCATAATCTAGGAAAAAACTTTGATAAAAATAATAAAAAATATTTTTTAACAATTTTTTTGTAATTTTGAAATTTATGGGGTTTTTTTGGGGTACTACAAAAAAAAAGTTAATTTAAAAAAATGATTAAATAAATAATTAAGCACTATTTTTTGAAGTCTTCTGAAGAGAAACAGAGTTTACTGAATGAAAAATATTGATTTTCAAGGATTCTATACCAATTCTACGAAAAAGTGTTTTTTCCCCATGCATTTCACATGGGAAACTTTGAGCGCTTTGAGCGACCTCTAAATATTTTTTTATTTTAAAAAAAATAGGGATATTTTTTCTCCATATAGAACAATCCTAGGGGGTGAGAGCATTAAAATTCCGATTTTACTTTTTTTGGACCACCCTATTGTTTCCTCCTCCTCACCTGGCTTCCCACCCAAAACCTGGTCACAATTAAAATGCGGCTTGTAAACGGATGACCAGATTTTCGCCGTGAGACCATTCTTATGGTGGGCAGCTACTGGGATATTTACCTTATACGCTTTAATTTTTAAATAAAGTTAGTTGAACTTAAATAAAGATTTTTTTATTTTAAATAAAAATTTAGTTCAATTTAATAAATTTTGTGTTTGATGAAAGAATTTTTTCATCTAAAACGAATTTTCAGTTGAATAAAAAGAATGTTTGGTTGATTGAAACAAAATTTGGTTATTTCAAATAAATTTTTTTCTGAGTGACTAGATAAATAATATTACTGTTAATTAATGTTGAAATATTGTATTTACGCGCCGTATGATTTCTCGATTGACTCTAGTAGTCCACATACGTCACGACAGTATGCGTGTGCCTTTCTTCCTCGCTTGCTTGGCGCTCTCCCTATACTTTCACCTTTCATGTGATAACCGCGTCCCGTGTACATCATCTCCAATAAACGACCTTTCTTTTATTAATTAACGTGTCTCATTGACTCTAACCCGCCTCAAATTCGATCACGTCAACAGGTTATGGGCCACAGGAACGTTTTCCACTGCGCGAAACCAAATTGTTTGTGAACTTTTTTATTTTCCTGTGATCGTTTGCGGCGTGCTTTCCTCGTGATCGGAAACACGTGGAAGACATTTTTTTTTCTTTCTCGTGGCGACCGGTTTTTGAGTGACTAACGAATAGTTTAACGAGTGTTTAAAAATTGAAACGAAAAGTGATCTCAACGATGTCGACTGTGATAAAAAGTATAATAAATCGATACCGATTTATCCTAGGAATGAAAAACGAGGATGTCTTTGTCGAGGTGAATATGGACGACTCGAATTTCACAGTGACCTTCAAAGACGGAGAAACGATCAGTTTGAGTAAGTGAGAATATTCTTCTCAGTGCACGTACAAACGACAGTTAAATTACTAATAAAATAATCGCTTCTAATTTTATCAATTTAAAATAAAATAAAAAAACAAATTTTACGATTTTGCTTCCTCATAAAGGAAGCCTTATAGTGATGTCGATTTCCGAATTTTTTAGAACCAATTATTTTTACAAATTTTCAAGTGTAGTATACATAATTCGTCGAGAGGAACAAATGTCCGGATGTATGTGTGTATGTATGTGTGTGTGTGTGTGTGTATGTCACCGATTCTTGTGGACAAATTTTCTCTTACATGTCTTGACGGATTTTGATAAAATGTTGTAGGTGTATTACGGTCACGAATACCAAAAATCAGACAGAAGGATTTTCAAAAATATCTAAAAAAAAAATTTTTCAACAATTTTTTAATTTTTGAAAAAATTAATTTTTGGATTTTTTAAAATAACTTTTTTCTATATTAAAATTTTTATTAATTCTTGTCAAAATTGCATTCCTGACATAAAAACGAATCGATTCATGTATATAAAGTATATATTTTATCAATATTTATAGAATTAATAAATATTTTAGATTTTCATAAAAAAATTGAAATTTTGTATTTTTTGAAATTTTATTTTAATACTTTAAAATAATTATTCTATAATAAAAAAATTGAATAATTAATTTTTTTTCAGGGTACTTTACCCGGTAGAAACTTTCTATTAAAACTATTATGAAAATGACCATAACGTTCACATTTTTTTACCTAGAGAGTTAAAAATTGGCAAACGTGTATTTTTACGCGTAGATCACACGAGAAATATAGCTAATGCGATTTATTAATTATATTTAATAAACTATTATAAATATTTAACTTTTAAAATTATATATAATAATAAATATTGAGGAAGCTTAATGGTCATGAAATGAACAACTTGTTTCTTTTATTCACGATCATGCATGTGTTATGAGTTTTACGCTTTACTTGAGCTTTACAATTAATTGATCAATGAAATTAATCAAGTTTCTAATAAAAAAGAAGTTTCTTTTTTTTTAACGATGGTAAAGGGATAGTGCGATGTTTATTTCATTAACAAATGAAAAACGATTTTCTTTTCTTTTACGATTTTCGGACAGTCTTTCGTGTCTAAACATGCATGAACGTGCGCGCCTGCGCACATATATGCTTACTTAACCTTGATAAGAAAAGTGTTCAACGAGTATACAGACTAACAAAGGGAATCTTTTTCGAAAATTTTCAAATTAATTTTTCAGTACTGATGATCTATTTATTGAAATATTTTTCAATATATATATTTATTTAAAACAGACGTCGTAAAAATAATTTGCTATAAATAAACGAAGAACCAGTTAACTATAACGAAAGTTTTTAAATTTAACGAAATGTTTGCCTAATAAATTTTCAAGACACATAAATCCGTGTCTCTGGGTTGTTTCTCTTTGGAGAGAATTGTGTTCGTTCTCGAAAAATTGAAACGACTAGGGTCGCTTTTTGTAACAACGATAGTAACGGGGTTGGAAAAGCGAATCAGTTCTGATTTATTTTAACATGTGTTCTGTTTTAATGTTTCTAGAGCAGACTATTGATAGCACAATTTTTTTTATTAATTAACAGTTTTCTTTATTAACGACCGGTATAACGAGTGTGCATTCTATTTAATCATTAAATAATTTCTTTTTTTAAAGGCAAACTATCTCTCAAAAATGAATGGGACATTTTACGAGAGGAAATAAAGAGTGCTAATCACAAGTCAAACCCAGAGGGCGGCGACGTCATTAGCAAAGGGGCGCAAGACCCAACAGTGAATTCACTCACTGTTTTGTCACAAGGGGTTTTTGATAACACGACCAATCAGAATAAAACAATTCCCATCGATTCTTTTGAGGAAGCAAAAATTCTTTCTGATTTGCAAAATCTGATCGATGAGTGTCCTGACAAACCAGGTGACTAGTAATTTTTATAACGAAACGATTTTGTTTACGATATGTTGTATATGTTCTTTAACGATTTGTTTATACTTAACGATTGTACGATTGTGTTGTCGACAACATTTTATTTAATGACTGTTTTATTAATTCAAAATTATTCCTGGTAGATGTGTCACCAGATGCGACGAAGGGTTCTGGACTCCATGACAACGAAGAGATTTTAACTATTTCAACTGAAATTGTTTCAGCTCTTGAAAACAAATTAGGAACAATTGACAATCAAAACTCGTCAATTCCAAAAGTCGACGATCAAACTGACGATAAAGACAAAAATAATTCAACGACGGAAATGACGAAAAACACTAACGAAAGTATTGACAAAATTGAATTAACGACCGTGACTTCAAATAATAATAACGACAGTAACGACAACCTTAATTTTTCGATAGAATCAAAAAAAAAAAAACTGACAGTTTTCATAAGACGATAGTTAACGCAAAAAAAGAGACGATGACACAAAACGACAGTAGTTTGAACAAAAACACTCAGCCATCCAAAAATCAAAACTTAAAACGACAGTTAGATTCAAACGATGCGATCGACCAAAAATTTGAACAATTTTTTGAAATTGAGGACAGATTGGGTTCCAAACTGACCCAAATAGAAAAAGTCATGGAAGTGACTCTCACAATGCATGCACGTATGCAAGATAGCATGAAAATGTGGTTGGATCAGCGAGAAAAAGATTTGAAGGTAAAACGACCAAAAATTATAGATAGTGTAACTTTATCTCAAAATTCCAAATTTGCCATTCCCTTGTTTCAAACGAAAATTACTAACAAAAATCAATTGCCTACCAAAAACCCAACGACAGTTAACAATACTAAAATAAATACATACAATTCGAATGTTTTCGCGAATCAAATTAAAGATGCAATTAAAATTGAATTAATTGGTAAAGATAGCGGTATTAAATATGATTATAAATTAACACCACAGAGTAAATTTGAACATTTTCAAGAGTTTTTGTCTTCGGAATTATGAACTTCGGACCTACTTTACGTAGTTGATTCGACAGTTTCTCCCCCAGACGGTCTAAACGAAAAACAAAAGGAAAAACACCGATTTAAAGTTCGCGATATTTTGATAAATCGAATAGATAAAGCTTATCACTCGCGAGTCTTACTTCTTAAAGATCCGAACGAAATTTTAACTAAATTAAAAGAATTCAAACGATGCGAAGTAAATTTAACGACAGTAACTGTGCGAAAGCAATTATACACGATTCAATACGATCCGAAACGAGAAACAGCAATTAAATTCATCGATAGATTTGAAGAAATCGTTTCGAATTACGAAAACATTCCCGGTTCAACACCATTGTCTGACGATGAAAAACGCGATGCTCTATTTAACGCTATTATGAATCAAACTCCTGAAATTCAATCAATTGAATTTATAACAAAAAGTCAAACCGGTAAAAGCTTAAATTTTGATACCTTAAAAATGTTTATTGTACAGGCTGAAGCCAACCGTTTACAGGCGGCAAATAAGACGCATTCCGCCTCTGATCAAACGACTGTGCCATCTGTCCAATTCACGAACTCCGGCAAAACGAAATTTGTTAACGAGCGTTGCTACGAGTGCGACGAATTTGGACATATGAAGAACGAGTGTCCTTTGAAACGACAGGGTCTTAAAAAATGTTATGAGTGTCAGCAATTCACCACTCATAAGGCCTTCATGTGTCCTCAACGACTGGCACGACAGGGACGAGGAAATGGACAAAGTAGAGGCAGAGGTCGCGGAATCACAGGTAAACGTTGTTTCAATCCAAATTATATATGTACTTCTCAATATCGATCCAATAACAAACGACAGTTCAAAAATAAACGCAATTTCAAAAATAAACACTTGAATCCTAAAAATCCCAATGATAAGAATAAATTCTTTATCAAGATGAATAACGACAGTCATAACAAAAAATCATTTTTTGACAAAAATGACAGTTTACAATATCAACAAAGACAGTCACGAACAGGTACAAGCAACGAACCTAAAATTAATTTTGCTGAACAACAAAACAACAAATCAGGTAAGTCAAATCAAACAATCACATCAATGTCTGTGTCTGGTACTGTTTCCACTTTAAAAACACGATCCTTTGCACCAGTCTATTTATATAGCCTTCAAAAATCAAAACGATATGAAAATAAAAAACATAAATATGTCTCATTTATTGTCGACACGGGCGCGACCGAACATATAACGAACTCGCGAAACATCTTTGACAGATTGGATTCTTCTGAGTTCAATATAGTCAAATGTGCAAATAAAGACAGTAGCGCTGATTTACTTGTCGAAGGTAAGGGGAACGTCAATTTAATTTCAAACAATAACAAGTCTCTTGAATTATTTAACACTATTTATACAGATTCAGTTTCCGAAAATCTTCTTTCATTAAGACGACTAGCAGAGACAGATTATTCAACTTACTTAGATGACAAATGTGTTAATATTTTAGATACTAAAACTCAAAATCTTCTCGCAACAGGTGTATATGAGAAACCTTATTGGTTTCTCGAATTTAAAATTGATAGGAAGAGAATTAATGAAAAATTAACTTTCCCCGAAATGACTTTATTTGACACGACTGTAATCAATGAAATTTCAGATCAAAATAACGAAATTCCTAAAGAAAAGGACAAATCACTTAAAGACTGTACAAACGACACTTCCGAAACGACTGAAAAAAATACAATTCCGAAAAACGATATTTTGAATAAAATTCTATTTAAAGATAACGAAAATTCAATTAAAGATAATTCTAAAAAATCAGACAAAATTATTTTGAATTTTGATACATCAATAATAATGCGAAAATTAACGAATGTTGACGAATTTCCTGAAGTAGATGTTCTTGACGAAATTAGTCCATTAAATGAAAGCAAAAATGACAGTACAAACATGAGTAAAGCTATGCTTTGGCATACTCGTATGGGTCATGCTTCGATTAGTTATTTACGTAAATTACAAGTTTTATGGAAAAATAATAAAGAATTACAGTCAGTTGTTTTCGACGATAGTATTTTAAATTGTGAAGTTTGTGCCTTAAGTAAGTTAACGAAATTGCCTTTTAAAAACGAAAGAACAAGAGCAACACGACCGTTACAAATTATCCATTCCGATGTTATGGGGAAAATATCTCCACCCACACATCCTCACGGATATCAATATATAGTAGTTTTTATTGATGATTATTCACGAATGGCTTTGGCTTATCGAATGAAAACTAAAGATGAGACCGGATTCTGTTTAGAAAAATTTATCACAAGTTCTCGAAATTTACTCGGTACCAACGAAAAAATTTGCTATTTAAGATCGGATCAAGGAACTGAATTCACGGGCGGTTATACAAACGATGTGCTTATACGCAAAGGAATAGAACGACAGTGCGCTAATCCCGACACTCCTCAACACAACGGTGTGTCAAAGATTTAATCAAACGATTCAGAAAAAGATAAGATCTCTAATGTTCGATTCTAAACTCCCGCCAAACATGTGGGACTTAGCTCTAGGAGTAGCAACGTATGTTTATAATAGAACTCCACATAAGTCTATTGATTTCGAAGCGCCATTAAAGAAATTTGCTCCTCATTTTCACTTTGATTTAAATCAGATTAAACGTTTTGGTTGTTTAGCTTACTGGTCAATTACGAGAAAACCAGAATCAAAATTTTCTGCACGAGCTATACGAGGTATTCTGGTGGGATACACTACCACAGGTTACGTGTTTCTTAATCCAGAATCCGGAAAATTCTTTGAATCTCGAAATGTTCGATTTAACGAAAAAGTAGTTTACGACAACCGATACAAAAAAGACTCGATTTTATACTGCCCAAATCCAGAAACAAACTTATCAATAAACGATTGGTTTATTAAATTCGAAGACAAAACCACAACTGTTTCACCAAAAATTGACGAAGAGTTGTTAGAAACGGAGGGAGCTCAAACAAAAAAACGCGTTAGACCTCGAAAAAGACTGTTAGAAACGGAGGGAGAAAAATCAAACGAAAACGCGAAAAAGATTAAATTAACGAGAGAACCTTATGAAACTCGAAGTCGAAAAATAGCCGACATTAGTTTTGTACATGTTTCGAATATAACAGATATTCCAATTGATTATACAGTTCCGTGTGTAGAAGACGAGTTTTCAAAAACGAAAAATAAAACCGAATATGAAATCTTATTTTGTTTACATGCTGAAATTAATGACGATCCGTTAAATTTCAAACAAGCAGTAGAATCAAATGACAAAAACGACTGGTTAAAAGCAATTTACGACGAATTGAAATCATTGAACTAAAACAAAGTTTGGTCAATTGTAGATCGACCGAAATTTGGTAAAAATGGTAAGAAAGCAAACATAATAGATTCGAGATGGGTTTTTAAACGAAAATACGACAGTCCCGGAAAAATTAAATTTAAAGCTAGATTAGTAATTCGTGGTTTTAAGGATTCGAATTCGTACGATCTAAAGGAAACTTACGCTCCGGTTTCTCGACTCACTCTAGTTCGAACAATACTCGCCATCATAAATTATTACGATCTGGAAGCCTGTCAATTAGACGTGAAATTTGCTTTTCTAAATGGTATTCTGGAAGATGAGATCTATATGGAAATTCCAGACGGTGTAGAAATATCCGATGCTTCACGACAGTTAAAAGTCTGTAAATTACACAAAGCAATTTACGGTTTACGAGTTAGTTCAAAACAGTGGAACAAAATGTTCTCTGAAGTTGCTCTTTCGTTAGGACTAGTTAATGACGATTATGAACCTTGCTGGTTCACTTGGCGATCTGGCAATTCAATAGTTATTCTATTGACTTACGTTGACGACATTTTACTTGCTAGTAACGACCGTAAGAAAATGCTTGAAATTAAAGAAAAGCTCATGATCTCGTTTGAGATGACTGACATAGGCGAACCGAAACATTATTTAGGTATGAACATTCGAAGACAAAGAGATATGAAAATAATTACTGTTACTCAAGAATATTACGTTGAGAAAATTCTAACGAAATTTGGTTTTGACAATGAATTCTCGAAAAATACACCGATGATAACTCGACAGGTAATGAATCGCGAACGTAGACAACGAGAAGAAGACAACTGTAATGAAAGTAACGAAACGTCCCTTGATTTTCCTTACAGAGAAACGATAGGTAGTCTTTTGTACTTATCTGCGGCCACACGTCCAGATATTGCTTACGCGGTAAATGTCCTGAGCAGACATCAAATCAACCCGACCGAAAATGAATGGAAAATGGTGAAAAGAGTTTTTTAGTATCTCAAAGGAACAAAAGATTTAGGTCTAAAATTTATAGGCAGACGAAACGACTTGTTAGCTTATTCCGACGCAAGTTTCGCAGACTGCAAAAATTCCATTTCGACTTGCGGTTTTCTAATACGACTGTTCGGTGATACGATTGCTTGGCAAGCAAACAAACAAACGTATGTTGCTCTTTCGACTTGTGAAGCGGAATTTGTTGCAATGAATCAGGCTTGTCAGGAAATTATTGCGACAAATAAATCTCTAATGAGAATCTTTGTTCGAGGTTTTCTTCCAGCAACTTTAAAATGCGATAACAAGGCTGCAACGATCTGTAGTAAAACTAATGGTGGAAATAGACTAAGACACATGACCGATGTTCATCAGGACTATGTAAAAGAATGTGGTAAATACGACAGAGTAAATATTGAGTGGGTTTCGACTAAGAAACAATTAGCTGACATTATGACCAAACCTCTTAGTTTCGAGATTCACACTCAATTGCGTGACAAAATTCTTAATAAAGATAGTTACTAATTAACGAGCGTTTTCATAATAACTGTTTATTAATAGTTTGAATTAAAATATTCTCAATAACTGTTTTCTAATGATCTTTGTTTCTCCAATAGTTGAATCCAGTGATAGCGATTGATTCTTCGAGATTTGACGACAGATGTACCATGCGACGAGAGAGGATATATATATATATATTTCTAATAATACTCAGAGGACTGATTTTTCTATAAGACGATCAACCGATTTATCTATAAGAAGACATACTGTGAGAACCAATGTGCCAATGAAAACTCCGGTTGTGATTTGACAAAGTCTAATTTTAAGTTAATTTTGATTTTTATTTTTTAAGGAACAATCGTTCTAAAGTATCTCAGAAAGTATTAAAACTTTTATTTGATTTTTATTTTTTAGGGAACAATCGTTCTAAAGTTCCTGAGAAAGTATTAAAACTTTTATTTGATTTTTAAGGGGTTACGCCACCCTGAACGCATGAAAATCGGATGGTTTTTTAGGAATTTTTTTGATAAAACTGTTTCAGGTAGGACTTCTTTACATTTATTGATGCTTTAGTACATATATTGAGCTTTATAAATATTTAAAAAAAAATTGTTTTTAATTAAAAATGGCGGAGATATAACTATTGGCGTGGATCAATTTTTCCGGAGCACTCCTTGATGGTGTACATGATTGGCAGTTCAATTTTTGTCAGAAACAAGTAAAACAATATTTTTCTTAAAAAGTGATAAATTTTGAACAGAGTGACGAAGCCATTTTGAAAAAAAAAATTTTTTACGCAAATGGAAGCACTTCAAAAATTGACATTTTTTTTTTGGCTAAAATTACCGTATAAAAAATTGGATAAAAAATTTTCAAATTATTCAATCAAAAAAATCCCACGTCACTCTGTGGAAAATCTATTTAGGAAGATGTATATTAATTTTCAAGTCAATCGATTGAATAGTTTTTGAGTTATCGTGTACACCGTCTCGAAAATTGTGGTTTCGAGAACAACGCAAAAGAAGAAAAAAATGAACTTTAGTGTATTATAACTTGAAAATTTTTCAATTTACTATTTAATCAGCAATTCCTGGGCCATAATTTTTTTTATTTAAGAATGGAAGGGATACAATGAAAAGGACCCTTCCTAAATCATGAAAGGGCCCCCTAGACCATTCGAAAATAGAAAGTCGCTGCTTCCAGCAGCTCTCGGCGCGTCCCCACCGCGCTGACTTCTAATGACCATAACTTTTGTAATTAGTGAGACATTGTCTTCGGCGACATCTCAAAATATTCGTTAGAATATAAACTTTGAAATTAAGCAAAAAAAAAAAATAAATTTTTTTGAAAATTTCAGGGTGGCGTAACCCCTTAATATATGTTGTTCAAACTACGAATAGTAAGTGTCAGAAATGTTCTTCATGACAATTAGATTTAAGTTATCTTATACCTTTTATTCTTGTTCTTAAACGAATGTTGATAATGGCGACTGTAATGTGATTTTAATTTGTAAGTTATTTGTGATGTAACTTAAGTAGAAAAGATTCAATCTCGGGAGGGAGTGTTGAAATATTGTATTTACGCGCCGTATGATTTCTCGATTGACTCTAGTAGTCCACATACGTCACGACTGTATGCGTGCGCCTTTCTTCCTCGCTTGCTTGGCGCTCTCCCTATACTTTCACCTTTCGTGTGATAACCGCGTCCCGTGTACATCGTCTCCAATAAACGACCTTTCTTTTATTAATTAACGTGTCTCATTGACTCTAACCCGCCTCAAATTCGATCACGTCAACAATTAACAAATAACTATATATTAATATATATTAATATTAATTGTTTTTTGTTATATAACAACCTCGAAAAATAATAATCGAATAAATATTAAAGGTATAATAATTATAGGTATTGTTTTTATTATTATTGTTTCAAAAAATAATTATTAATATTATTCATATTATTATTAATATTATCACTACTAAAAAAGTATAAAAGTTGAAGTGAATATTTTTTAATATTCCAAATAATATACCTATAACATAAAGAAGTAGAAAATTGTGAAAAAAGGCAGCGTTTATATGAAAAAAGAAAGGAAATGAAATTAGAAACAATTGAAGGCAATTAAATATCAATAAAACGATTGTAAAAGAACAAATTAATTTTCGTGAAAAAAGTAAAAGTATATTCTAGAAAAAGTCAGGACAGGCATAATTCAGCATTTAATGCACCAAAGGCAGTGTCGTTGCCAATTAAGATTTTTCATCTTGACGTTTATTGCCTTTTTATATATCGCGTCTGTTTATAATTCTTCAATTTTAACTGCGCCCTAAACTTGCAGGGCATTTTTTAAGCTCACAAAGAATTATTAAATTATTGAACTCGCGCAATATTTAATGATGGCAAACAAAGAATATGACTATGCGAAAAATTAACGAATTGAGAGCTATATATATTTTTATTTGCATTATATACGAAAAATAACGTATTCAATATAAATACAAAAGTTTGAACAGAATATCAAATCATCTAGAATAATTATATGCGCAAAAATGAGAGATGTTATTTAATATGTTTACGACTTTTTTTTCAATAATATTCTCTTGTAGCGTATTATTCGCTTTCGATTTTTCTTTCTTCTTTCTTCCTTTTTTTGAGAAACGCCGTTCTTTTTTTCGTTATAAAAATATGATATCAGGGTATTAACAATCGTGGGCGGGATAAAAAATGTTTTCGTTTATTATTTTCTTCATCGAAAAATGAATTTAACGTGTCATGAGATATTCAAATGGTTATCTTTCAAATTTAATTTTTTATATAGGGTAAGTAATGGGTGGAAGACCATAGTTTTTTTAAAGTACTGTAAAAATTATAAAAAAAACCGATTTTTGTCTAAATTTTTATTGATAATTTAACATTGAACACTTAAAATAACAAAAAATAAAATATTTTAACAGAAACAATCTTAAAATTTACATTTTTAAGGTTCCGTACACCTACGGTGTAACGGCGGAACCCTATTGGTGAGACTCTGTTGTCCGTAGCCAAATCGTGCCCCCCCCCCTAGCAGCTAAACTATTTGACCTAAAGAGCTCAAATTTGGTACAGATATGTATTTTCACTCGTAGATTACAGGAAAAATATAGCGAATGTGATTGGACGTGATGGTCATAGCGTTGTCAAGGAAATAACAAGATTTTTGGCCAAAAATGCATAAAAAGTGACCATTCCCCCCCCTTAACTTCTAAACTATTCGACATGGAGAGCTGAAATTTTGCATGCTGGTGTATTTTTACTCGAATATTACAGGAAAAATATAGAGAACTTGATATGTAATGATGGCCATAGCGTTGTCAAGGAAAAACTAAAAAAATTTTAAAAAAAAATTTTTTTTCTCTAACTTTTACATTATTTGACCTAATGAGCTGAAAATTGGTATCCTAGTGTATTATTACAGTCTGACGACAAAAAATTTATTTAAGAAACTTTTTGAAAAAAAAATCAAAAAAAAATTTTTTTAAATTTTTTTTAGTTTAAACACGTGGCATTAAATATTTTAAGGAAGAGAGTGAAATTTTAAGAGAATAAATGAGAGATTGTTTTCTGACTTTAATTTCTTAACTAAAAAAAAAAAAAATTGGACAAGTGCGAGTTGTACTCGCACTGCAATGGCGGGTTCCGTACACAAATATTAAAACAATACTTGCAACATTTATCGGTAATTGATAGAATTAAAATAAACAATTAAAAAAATATATTAAAATCATTTGATAAAAAAAATAACTAAAAAAAATTAAAGTATTGTATATCTAATATTGTAAACAATAATAAGCAGAGGAACTATAATTTTGAAAATTTTGTTCCTCTGCATATTATTGTTTACAATATTATAATTATGCATATAATTATAATTATATTATTATAATTATGCATATAATTATAATTATATTATTATAATTATGCATTATAATTATGCATTATTATATTATAATTATTATTATTATAATTATTATAATTATTATTATGCAATATTATTGTTTTCAATATTAGATATATACAATACTTTAATTTTTTTAGTTATTTTTTTTATCAAATGATTTTAATATATTTTTTTAATTGTTTATTTTAATTTTATCAATTACCGATAAATGTTGCAATTGTTTTAATATTTGTGTACGGAACCCGCCATTGCAGTGCGAGTACAACTCGCACTTGTTTAAAAAGTGCATTTGGAACATTGCAGTTTTCATGTAGCCAAAAATTAAAAATACTGTACTGAATTCAATCTTTAATCAATGTCGTTTTATTGTAACTTTCGCATCAACCTACAAAAAATAGATCTCCATCTCCGGTGTTAATTAGATAAATTAATTTATCAGCAGATATTTTTTAATTTGTTTTTCTTTAATATTTCTTAAGCATCTAAAATTAACATAAAAAAGTTTAAATAAAAGTCATTAATGGCTATCTTACCCAATAATACATGATAAAAGTAAACATCAAAATAATTTGTTTGATGAATTTATTTTTAAATATTAATGATATTTATATAGATTTGCGAATTTTATATCACTCGGTAAATAAATAGAGGATGGGAGATGTTTATCAATCTTCCCGAGTCAGGAAGTGTAATAAAATTAGGAACTAATTATTTTTTAACGTTTCGACTGCACCGCCGCCCTCTTCAGAACTGCAATTTATTATAAAATTAGGATCTGTACAAGCAAAAAAGTTTCGTAATTTGTTTAAAAAAGTTTTCCGTGTATAATAAGATTTTATGTGAAATAGACATTTGTCAAAATATTTGAAACGCACGGCACGAGCACATCCTAAGAGACTTAGAAACAGACTAAAGGAGATAACAATGAAAGACGTAGTGTGTAACAGAATAGCGGTCATGAAGTTAAAGAGTAAACATAAAAAAGGAAAAATATATAAAAGTAAATGACAGAGAAACAACACCGTAAATTTGAGATCAGAATAAGATAAAGAGATTATATGTATAACCGAAATAAATCGAAACACGTATAATAATTGGAAATCATCTACACTGGAGACTCCATAGAGAGCAAAACTTTGGTCGCGACGCGGTAGGGGGACAGAAGGAGAGAGATAGTTAACGAAATTGAAAAAGTCATTTAACCGAGTGGTAGAAATAGCTCGGTTAAAAAAAAGTATTTAAAAATAAATAAGATATGGTTAAAAGAAACTAAGTAATACTGATTATCACAACCGAGCTGAGATGGTTAAAACACATCTGTTAAAAATAATCCTCCAAAGGATTGTCTTAACCAATCTGAAATGTGCATAATGGAAACAAACTTTCGTGGTTGTTCTTACCTATCTGTTTTTTGAATATAAACTATTAGGGGAGAGTGGTCCTAAGTTGGCCGCCTAAGCAAATCGGTCGAAAATAGTAACAAAATGAAATTTAATCACTTCGGCAAGTATATAATAGTGTTCAGAGATCGTTTTGCTATAATTTTGTGGTATTTAGAACGTTATAGAATGGCTTTTGTAGTCTTAATGCAATAAATAGTGAAAAGCTGCATTTTGGACATTTCAGAAATAGCGGTCCTAAGTTGGCCACCACTTTTTTTCACTTGTGTATAAGGAAGAAATGCATATTCTTTTCAATTACGCAGAAATTTTACAAATTTGATACATTTAGGAAAATAAAAACGCATTATTCAACTATTTTTGTTTAGAAAATAAAGCATTGTTTTATTTCATTTATTTGCAGTAGAGGATGGTTGTGGAGACAGGCGTTTTTGTACTATGTCTTTTCTAATGTTTTTAAACCATTTTTTTTGTTTTTTTTCTTTCTTTTTTTTCTTTCCTACGTTACACTTTTACGGTCTTTCTCGTGTTGAAAAACACAAAAAAGAAGTAAAACATAAATAAAATCAAACAAAAACAATAGGTGGCCTACATAGGACCACTGTAGATTTTTACAGGTTTCAAATTATTACGCTAATAAAAAAAATTTAATTAAAAAATCAACAGAACCTCTTATTACAACATTAAATAAAGGAACTAGCGCACACACTCATTTAGAAATTTTTAATTATTTATCTCTTGTACTTAGACCACGCTCCCCTACTATGCGATTAATATTAATTAAATTATTTAACGGTGTATGAAATCATTAAATTGCATACTTATACCTATACAATACAGAAAAACCGGAATAAACGCAAATCTATGAAATAAATAAAATTATGTAACGCCTTATCATCCGTCATCAGCAAACCTAAATCATGTGTTTCAAATAGCTTCGTATTTAGTCCTTTCTTAAAAAAGACATGGAGTGGAAAGGTGGAATGTATCGAAAAGTATCGAAGTAAAGAATGGACAATGAGAATGTAAAATCTTAATAGAAGAGTGTTTTCAAAATTGTTTAGACATGTGCAGGTGGAGCTGCAGTCGTATGTTATTTAAAAAAAGCTGTATTATATATTAATACTAGTGAAAAAATAAAGGACATAATTATTCCTGATGACCATGTTCTTATCAGTTTGGATATTAAATCTTTGTTTATAAATGTTGGTACCAGACTGGTTCTTAAAAGATCTGTTGGATCTCCTATTAACATCTTGTGAATTTTTAATGAATAACATTTTATTCAAATTCAATGGGAAATTTTATAATCAGAACTATAGTACTCCAATGGGTTTCTCCATCTTTGGTCTGTTTGCAGACATTGTTATGAGCGATTGTGAAACTGCATGTCTTAAAAAATTG